CTGGAGACCCAACTGACCACCAGTCAGGTAAGATACCGCGCCTCGGCCACCAGTCTGGAGACCCAACTGACCACCAGTCAGGTAAGATACCGCGCCTCGGCCACCAGTCTGGAGACCCAACTGACCACCAGTCAGGTAAGATACCGCGCCTCGGCTGCTAGTCTGGAGACCCAACTGACCACCAGTCAGGTAAGATACCGCGCCTCGGCTGCTAGTCTGGAGACCCAACTGACCACCAGTCAGGTAAGATACCGCGCCTCGGCTGCTAGTCTGGAGACCCAACTGGCCACCAGTCAGGTAAGATACCGCGCCTCGGCTAGTCCAGTCGGGAGACCCAACTGACCACCAGTCAGGTAAGATACCGCGCCTCGGCTGCTAGTCTGGAGACCCAACTGACCACCAGTCAGGTAAGATACCGCGCCTCGGCTAGTCCAGTCGGGAGACCCAACTGACCACCAGTCAGGTAAGATACCGCGCCTCGGCTGCTAGTCTGGAGACCCAACTGACCACCAGTCAGGTAAGATACCGCGCCTCGGCTGCTAGTCTGGAGACCCAACTGACCACCAGTCAGGTAAGATACCGCGCCTCGGCTGCTAGTCTGGAGACCCAACTGGCCACCAGTCAGGTAAGATACCGCGCCTCGGCTGCTAGTCTGGAGACCCAACTGGCCACCAGTCAGGTAAGATACCGCCGTGGGGTGGGTAGGGGAGGTGAGGTGGGGGTTGGCTGACGTCATAGCATCACTGTATGGATGTGTCGATGTGTGACGATTGATTACCTTTGACAATGCAAAGTGGCGTATTGGCTCCAGTGGCTTCTTTTGGAATGTGCATCAAATTAATGTTTTTTTTTATTTCTATGTGTTAATTGTGTTGTGTTTCGGCAGATCATCAGTGGCAGCCGTGCGCCAATTTGTCACTAACTACGACCTTCTGTGACTCATCCCCACGCCTCAACGTCCAAATACGCATGGTTGCGCCTAATATCGTTTTATTTATCCACGACTTACGCTGACTGTGTGATTATGACCGCCACAGCAGTAGATATTTGGTTAATAATTAAAACCTAAGTCCTCTGCAGTGTACCGTTATGCAAACCGTTTATCGACTGTTTATACCTAATGATCATGCGTGTTGTAGTTGGCCAGTTTCCATTGTAACTCCCATGTCTTTATGCTTGTGGTACACCATCTAATAATAGTACGTAGACTTATAGAATCGCTTGTTGATCTGTCATAAGTGTTGTTTATTGTATATTTGTGTCTTCCACAGGAGACTGTTGGTAAATACGGCACTGCCCTGGATGCCGTGTACGCGGCGGTGGCGCCTCTGGTGGCAGAAGCTGAAAGTAGAAGTGCTGAACAGCAGCTCCGCGAGGTGGAGACAGCGGCCGATCAGGAGCAGGAGGTGAAGGAGGTGAGGTATAGGATCAGGAGATGACAGAACACATGTTTGAGGGGTATGAGGCTAAACTGAGACATTTGAGGCTAAACTGAGGCATACACCATCCGCTGAATAGGCATGTAGGCATGAACAGACATGTTAACATGATGACTACCGTGTCTGAACTTGCTTTCATGTTAGAATTGAATAGAAACGTTTTTTTTTTCGTTTAGAAACGTTAGAAACGTTTTTTTTCGTTTTTTTTCTGGTGAATTTTCCACCGTTTCATGCTTCTATCCTCAGGATACTGAAATCCTTCTCCTCCACGCCGTAACCCCCTCCGGGCTGGACAGGCAACTTTATCTCATGCGGGCTGCTCCCTTGGAGCGGCACCGCTGCTCCCGAGGGAGCGCACCCCGTAGCCGGGTGCAGTGAGTGCCTTGGGGCTGGGTGGCCTGTCCTCTGGACGGGCTCAGCCCCGGCGACTCACTAGGGTGCCTGCCCAGACCAATGTCTCCCCCTATATCCTATCATCCTCCCGGCTCTGAAATGGTCTCATTGGACCCAAAGGGCCTAACCCACCAAAACAAACAATTTCTGGTGAATGCGATTCCAACTGGTTGACCGTTCCTTTTAGCCCGTCGCTGTGGACGACCGTCAAGTATGTGGGTAGACTGACACGGATTCTCTTTAATCAAAGCTGTCGTTTGTTACCAGGAGACGTGTGAAGTTATGGACACTGATCAGGATGGCGCTGAGGCAAAGGAAGAGGAGAACGAAGAGAAACCTGCAATGGAAGAGAAGAGCGCCAAGGAGGAGAAATCCGCCAATGAGGAGAAACCTACAAAGGATGACAAATCCGCCAAAGATGACAAATCCGCCAAGGAGGAGAAAATCACCAAGGAGTCTCGAGGAGCCAAGGCTGCTGAGGGAAAGAGTGACAAAAATGCCAAGGGCGATGCAGATGACAAGGTGAAGGAGGCAGCGCCGGAGCCGAAAGTCGCCAAAGAAACGCCGTCCAAAACGCCGAAACGAACCCGCTCTTCGGCAGCCAGTGACGCTGCGGCCAAAAAAGCCAAGGTGGAGAACGGATCCTCCGCCTAAAACCTTGGCTGTGTCGATAAGGTGGACCGATTTTTTGCCCAGGAGAGCGAATCAACCGCCCAACACCTCATATTTTTCGGTATGTGGACAGATAAACAGCTAAGAAACCGTCACCATGTCTCGGCCAGACCACAAGATGGTGTTTTTTTTTTCATTTAACACTGAGTCTGGAATCCTCGCATACATTGCGTTAGGTCCAATTGCGAAAAGAATGCATTGTGTGAGCTAGCGTGAAAGCCCTGCGTTTACAGCGTGCGCACGGTGCGTGTGGGCTTGCGTACGACGTGCGATCTATGTCTTTGTGCGTGCGTGTGAACGTTTGAATTTTAGTTTTTGTGTATCACTAGGTTTAAGCTCTGCCGTTAAACTGTGGGTCAAAACTTGTCCAAAGCCTGGTCCGGGTGCTGTGGGCCGCGGCCCAAGAGAGTATAGGATCGATACAACAAAACCTATGAACCCTGTTTGGATTTGGCTGTCAAAGTATAGAAGCCCGACGCAGGTCGTTTGCGTTTGAAAGCTTCGCGCTGAAAGTTTGTCTCTAGAAGCTTTGTCATGTCTTTTTGCCTTTGAAAGTCTGGGCCGTACGTCATTGTATCATCGAATGTCACATACTGGAAGTGACGTCACATGACGGACGTCATGCCGTGGTCATGTAAAACAGAAGGAGTGGCGTCATACATTCATAGTGACGTCACATGCCGGCGGCCAGCCGCGTCAGTGTAGTGGTGACGTCATACTTGCGGGGATGTATCGCGTATCGACAGTGGCGATGTCATATGGGCCCTGTTTCACCGGTGATAGCAGCAAGCTACTATCAAATTGCGCGAGCTGACGTAATGTGATGACGTCATACTGCTGACGTAAGGGGCAATTCTGGCGCACGATTGCCGCAATATTGTTTTACGTCATCAACTAAATGTTCGAAGTTAACGTCCAAATTTTCCTTAAACCCAACTTATTTTAAATACATTATATTAAAAAATATATATATTAAAAATAAATATACTATCATGACTACGTAAACTCTTACTTTTAGAGGCTCATACGTCACTTAATGCCGCGGCCAAGGTCGCGGCAATCGTGCGCCAGAACTGCCCATCACGTCAACAGTATGGCGTCATGACATGACGTCAGCTCGCGAAACGTGATAGCAGCGTGCTGCTATCACCGGTGAAACAGGGCCATGGTAACACTAACGTCATGTAGCTACGATGACGTCAAATGCAAACAGTGACGTCACGTCATAGTGTCCATTCGGCCCGACCCCTTGGACCGTCTGCAGACGTCTGTAATTGTATTCACCACTGCAGCCGAGCGGCGCGATTTTTGGAATACCGACATGTACTTGGGATGAATAAAGAAATAAGTTTTATTGAGAGCTCTGACCTCGGGGTCACAGTTGGAAGCTGTTTGTAGTTAGAAGAAAGAACTCGACGCATAAGCTACGATCGAACGATATGTGCCCAGTTATTATCACAGTCCATTCATTCGCCCGTCTGTCTCTGTCTCTGCCTCTGTGTCTCCGTCTGTCCGTACTCTATCTGTCTCTGTCAGTCTGCCTGTCTGTTTCAGTTCCGTCTCCGTCTTGCCCGCTCTCTGCATTCACACTCCAACGTGACAATCCTCCGTCCTCCGGACTCCTCCCACTCCCCTCCCCCCCCCCCCCGGCCACCTGACGCCTGACCCAGTCGACCGGTCAAGGTCACTGGCCGCGCCCGAGGCGCTTACTGGTGGACATAGGTTACAACGATACAGCCTCTGACATCGACGACACAGCAGCGGCGGCGACCGAACCCTGGTATCGCTACAAGACCAATGAGTGGTCCGTCACCCCACTCTGCGGCTTGCCTGACACCGCCTTTGCGCTTGAATGGCTTGGGCGGTATCTGACCGACCCTCTGCGAACGCCTGACGCCGCCCCTGAGGCTTGGTGACCGCGTGCTCAACGGACTACATGTGTGTGATTGCTTGATGCCATGCAGCCATTCACTTCTCCCCTCCCCGTCTCCTTCCGCTATCGCGCTCAGACTCTACGCAATACGAGCCGGGTCCGACCCTCCACGGGCCGTAGCCGTTTCATGGGTGGGAAAGCGGCCCGTCTGTCGGGACGGAGCCCCACCGCGCGCACCGCACCCCTCCCCCTACATATCTCGGGCATCGATGGTCCCTCATAAGTCTTTCCGCGCCGCCGGCATGGGAAAGTTACGCATAGCCAAGGCCACGCATAGCCGCAGGCGCCCTTTGTTTGCTTTCCTCAACATGAAGCGGAAACGGGGAAAGGGCGCGGAACTGGCGATAGGGGCGCCACCTGTCGGCTATCCTACCAACGACCGCTAGTAGAAAATAGTTGGGGTAAACGTGGCTTCTGACTAACTAATTCCAATGGACCCTTTGGTGAGGGCTCGAATTTCTAAATAAATTTAAACGTAGACCATTAAAAGAGCTCATGGCCCGTTTTAAACGCCATTGTTATCCTTGAACACCTTCATTACTTTATGTGACGTCATATTACCTTTTATATATTTTCGACTAATGTTCATGTCCAAGTTGATTTCCAATTCCTAAACCTTGATGACGGCGTCGCGGCGTGGTTCCATTGTTTGTCACCGAATTTGAATTTTTGCTGTCGGCATTTGTAATTTGGGTGAGTTACGTGTTACTTTTTGCAGAAAATTACCATTGCTTATTTCTTTGTAACATTTGTACACTCGTAGGTATCATGCCTCTTCATTTTGTATTCTTCGTCGATTGTTTCGAAAACGGCGACGAATCTGGCGCTAACCGTTAACGTTTTTTTTTAATTTTTCAAAATTTGAAGTTCTTACCAATAATTAAACATTTATTGTGCATCAGCAATCAACCCTTATGTGTTTCCTTTCAGACAATGGATTCACAGAAGTTCTGCTTGAAGTGGGATGGCTTCCAAGGCAGCGTCACCTCCGTGTTTGATCACCTGAGGGCGGACTCGGAACTGGTGGATGTCACGCTCTGCTGCGAGGGACAGCGGGTGCGAGCCCACAGGATGATGCTCTCGGCCTGCAGCCCTTACTTCAGGGAGCTGTTCAAGGTGAGTTGGTGCTGCATCATGGTGTCTGCTAGTGGTTTTAATTTATATTGTGTTTATTAAATCTTCATTTCAATTATTTATTTGAATTCTTACTCCTTACTTTATTTTATTTCTATTCAAATTGATTTATTTTTATTAAATTCATACATAGTCATATTTTTTGCTAGGTTGGCGTGACAACATTTTCTCTTGATATAAATCCTGGTAGAAGATGTGTGGTGATAGGGTCAATTTGAATGTGCCATTTATTCATCCAATTTATTTATTGTTGCACTGAAATGAGCTTTGTCAATTGCTGATGAAGATGATTCCTTTTTTCTAAAGATTGTGATGTGCAATGTCCTTTTTCAACCCCAGTAGCCAAAAAAAGATTAATACAGCTCTACTGATTGAACCAGTTTTGCAGTACCTATATTGTTAAATGTCATTTTCAATGTAATCAAAATCAATTCAATATTGTAATTGGGCCCAACAATTAAAATCTTAGAACAAAATCAATGCAACCATATTTTAGAGATTCCAGAGTACATGAAATATTAAGCTTCATTGCAACTTTTCTCACAAACTACCGACAATAAAAAGCAATGGTATCTCCTAGCTGGCATGTCAATTTATCTACACTGTGAAGTGTGAACAGTCTCATCAAGTCATCACCCCCTTCCAACCCCCCACCCCCAATCAAAATCAATTCAAGATTGTAATTGGGCCCAACAATGGGCCCTCACCCCCCCCCCCCACCCCACACACACACACAGCAAACAACAAACAACTAAAATATTTCTCCCTCCATCTCTCCTCCAGGATCTGTCATGCCAACAACTGGTCATCTTTCTCAAAGACACCTCAGCTGCCGATCTCACTGCAATAGTGGAGTTTATGTACAAGGGGAAGGTGAACGTGTCACAGAGCCAGCTGGCCAGCTTCATCAAGACAGCAGAGATGCTGCAGGTTCAGGGACTCAGCGGTGGTGATGACAAGGTGAGGAAGATGATGGTGATGTTGGTGATGATCTTGTTGATGATTATGATGGTGATGATGATGGAAGGAATGAAGGGGACATGGATTATTTGATACAAGCATCATGATCTTAGCACTAGCCTTTGTCAAACATTGTAGTCCTCATTAAGCACTATGCAGTGGCAAATCTTATTCCCATTGATATGACGTGACTAGTACACTGTGCGTTCATATGAGATGGTAAGGGTTAAGTAACTTGGTTCTCTCATAAAAAATGTTGTTTGGGTAATATATTTTTCCTGGCTGATGAATGATGAATGCATAAAATTGAACACCTAAAATGGTGAAAATATACACTTGTCTCTCATTTTATAGCACTAGGATGTGCCAAGTTGACCACATTGAAGTACTACATGTGACCCCCTTTCTCTCCCTTCACAGGACCCACCGCCATCGCCTGCCCCTCCCCCACCCCCACCACCGGAACCAGCCCGCGCCTGGAGTCAGCAGCAACCCCAGAGCCCCGCCGCCCTTCGCCGTGCCACCGACACTGCATCGCCGTCCGAGCCTCGTCTCAAACGGCGCCGATCCGACCTGCCTCCGCCGCCGCCTATTGAGAGGAAGCCGCCGACGCCCCAGCCGCAGCCGCAGCCGCCTCAGCCGGGCCCTGCGGCAGCGGTGGGGACTCCGGCGGGAGGTCAGGTTGGGGTACAGCCCCCGCCGGAGGATGAGGCGGCTAGGGATCAGCCGGCGGGCATGTTTGAGGTGAGTGAAGGGATGGAGGTGATTTATACATGAACTGTTGTTTATGAGCTGTTGTATTCTGCCCGATTTCATATGAATGATAGTGAATTGTGAAACTTGAATGATGATGGGTTTAAAATGTGCCAGAAAATAACTGCATTTTCATTATCCTTTGTTTTTTTTTTACTTCGCATGAATTGTAGTGTTCAGTGTTATTTGATGCAGAACCGTGACGTTCTATAATTGGCATACCTGCCCCACCATGCGCCCAATTTAGTGCTGTTTTTCCAGAATCTTAGTCCAGATATCGAGCATTTCGAATTAATCGAGCCCATTTATGGGCGCAGAATGACTCTTGTAGTCAGCGCGCCCTGAACTCCCAACAAACAAAGAAATAACAATTGGTCGAGCCCGCGTTATCCAGAATCTCAGTCACTGTAACTTAACACCTTGTGCCATCAACCTCCACCAATCTCACCCCCTCCCCTTTCCCCACCCACAGGGCGCGGTCAAGGTGGAAAAGTTTGACGTCGATCTCACGCTAGACGACGATGAAGACACGACTGGAGCCGGTGACGAACTGGAGGCCGCACTCGGCAATGTAGCTCAGTACGAAGGCTACGACCCGGGCTCCGATCAGTCACTGAGTGCGGATGGACACATGTTCGGAGCTGGAGGCAGCGGCGAGGGCGCCATGGGAGGAGCAGGTGAGATTTTAGTGGAATGTGTGTGAGAATTGGCTGGTGAGATTGAGAACTGGTTAGCGGGAGTCGAGCGTATATTTCGTTTGTGTTCTTGTGGTTGGATGAATGCGGTGCGATTTCGCGTTTGATATATGTTGCTCGCGTGTCATCTCTCCGCCACGTGACCAGTTTTCCTCAGTGCTCCTACTGGCTTATCCTGTATTATGATTATCATATTTATTCATCCCTTGTGGCTTGTATTGCGCTGTTGCTCCCCAACCAGTCTCCTGTGCTCTCTCTCTCTCTCTCTCTCTCTCTCTCTCTCTCTCTCTCTCTCTCTCTCTCTCTCTCTCTCTCTCTCTCTCTCTCTCTAACCCTCTAACCCTACCCCCTCTCTCCCACAGCCGGCGGACCGTACACCCCGGGCACCTCACAGCGCGCTGGAGAGGATGGGTCACAAGGTGCGTTCTACTTTACTATTATATCGTGCTCGGACACGGCTGGCGGGGAGGGTCACACATGGAAGGACCGGAGCCTGGCGCCATAGAGAGCAGAGAGGAGGGAGTAATGGGGCATGGTAGAGAGGGGAGTAGGGTAGGGTAGAAAGGGGGTAGTGTAGGGTAGGATAAGAGGGTAACAGACGCGGTGGGTCACACATGGATGGACAGGAGCCTGGCGCCATAGAGAGCAGAGAGGAGGGGAGTAAAGGGGTATGGTAGAGAGGGTATGAGAGGAGAGTAGAAGGAGGGTAGGAAGGGGGTAGTTTGGGGTAGGAAAGCACATGGATGGACCGGTGCCTGGCGGCAGAGAGGATAGGAGAGGATTGGAGTAGTGGGAATGTTGGGTGTGAGGGGGGAGTAGGGGAAGGGTAGTGTAGGGCAGAGTAGAGGATGATAGACGTGAAGGTCACACATGGATGGACCGGTGCCTGGCGTCAGGAGAGAGCAGAGAGAGGATAGGAAGAGGACGGGAGTAGTGGGGATGGTGTAGGGGGTATGAGAGGAGAGTAGGGGAAGGGGGTATTGTAGGGTAGCCGGATAGAGGGTAACAGACGCGGTGGTTCATACATTGATGGACCGGAGCCTGACTGCAGAGAGGGAGGAGAGGAGGCAGGAAGGAGTGTAGGTAGGGAGTAGAGATAAAGCAGGGGATAAAGTGGGGAGTTATGGGAGAGATGAGATAGAGCGGTAGAAGAGATAGAGTGGGTAGAATAGGGACGAGGAGGGTTAGATAAGATTGAAAGGGATGTGATATGACGGGAGTGACTGATAGGCGTTAGGAGAGTGGAAAATGGCGGGAAATGATAGGAAGAAAAATATAGGAGGGAAATATTTTGGAGAGATAATGACGGTAACTGATTGACTAGTAGGAGGGTTGGAAGGATGGTGATATAACGCGAGGACGCGGAAGTGGATGGGATGGGAGAGGGTTGTAGGTGAAGGGAGCTGGAAGAGTTTGAGTTAGAGAGGGAGAGGGAAGGGAATGTAGATGCGATGAGAGAGGGGGCCCGTGAGTGGGAGGCCATGAAGAAGAGGACGGATAGGCGTGGATAGGCGCTGGAGGGACGCGTGGCGAGGTGACAGTCCCCGAGGAGATAGGAGCATATTGGGACTGCGGCAGGTCGAGGCCTTTGGCAGAGTATGGGAGCATTGCGAGCAAGGGATGGTAGGGTCAGATAGCGGAGAGAGAGGGGCTGAAGAGCAGGTGAGGGGGTGGAAAAAGTCAAACCCGTAAGAAAGCGTCTTTGTTGGATGGGCTTCAACGTAACGTTTTGAATTCAGGTGTTGCAACAAAAACGGGTTATTCGTTTATATTATCGACTATGAAGTCGTGCGGAGTGTCAACTTACAAATAAATTGGTAGATGGACCCATACACCATAACACTGAGGATAGCTCAGTAGACTGATATCAGTTTTTGAGTATTGGGGCCGGGGAATAATAACTTTCCAGACCCTTTTTAATAACATTGATGATTGAGACACCTTTTCAATGCATCATCTTGCTCAAAATTTATCTTATCATTTTGTTGCGAGGGTCGAGTCATACCATCCCACTTTAGCCAGCTAGCTCAAGATAGCCTCCACATTAACTACGCCGCCATTCTGTATGTTAGCCTCGCCGGAGGGTACCATTAACTCCCCTGGGATGGTAGTGTAGGACCTCTTTGAGCGCCAGGCGTTTCCGGTTACGGTGTGACCCCCCTCTGCCGTGTCCGGGCTGAACAGTGGAGGTGACATAAAACACGAGGCGATTTGATACTACCCCCTCTTATTATAGTCTGGCAAACGTGAGATAAAGTGGTGATGAAGTTGAATAAGATAAAATGAAGTGCCCTGAATAATTTGCACGTGTTTTGATTATTGCAGATCCATCCAAAGTAGCTTGTCGGACTGGACATATGAGGAAATTGTTTGTAGGGAATTATGTTTGTGGGCACGTGAATTGGTAACTGTTAAGGCCGCCGTCCACTGCGACGGAATTCCGTCCGGAGTCCGTCCGGAATGTCGCCACACGCTGGCCGCATCCGGTCCGGATGCGGTCCGGATGCGGTCCGGATGCGGAGAGCTAATAAATGTTTCCTATCACTTATTACCAAATAAAATATTGCAAGTAACCAGCAGCGAATACTCTTGCCATTCTAAGGAAATAATTTTTACTTACTTCATGATGATCGAGTTCCAATTCTTCGTACAATTCACAACGTTTGCCTCCGATACGGCCCCAAACCACGTCTGTTCCGGACGTTCCGGATGCGTTTTCCGCAGAAAAGTTCAACGCGTCGGACATCACTCTTCCGTCTCCGTAGCAACCGCATCCGAAACGCATGCGGAGAGCTGACGGAAAATCAACAGCTGATTGCCGTTCGGATGCGATCCGGACGGAGCGCACACGATTTCCGTACGGACCGGATGCGCCCATAGGGTTCTGTGTTAAATTCCGTACGGACCGCACGCGTTCCGCACAGTGGACGGCGGCCTTAGCGGTTCATATTTTGCGTTTGCTCACGTTTGCCGGACTAGCCCCGGCTGGGACGCCGTTCTAAAATAATCAAAATCATGTTTATTTAATAACTTAGTAAATTCTTCTGATAAAAGCTTTAAGTGCTAAATGCCCTTGAACCATATCAGAAATTTATCGTGGTGTCGTGATCAGTTCATTAAATTTTTCTTTTAAACTTGATTTTTATTTTAACCCGCGCCGGGCCGGTGCTCCCGGGGGTGTCTGAACACCCCCCCCCCTTCTAACTCGGCTCCTGGGCCACGTAGCGACACGCGGTAAGCGGCAATCGAAAGAACGTCAAAAATAAGAACGAAAACACTTCGGTCATTTTTTGGGTCAGGTCAAAGGTCAGGTCACCAGAGGTCACCAAAGGTAAAATGTTGACTATTTCAACATTTTGGAAACTGCCAACGGCTATCTCGGGAACCGATAGAGCTACAGCGCCGCAAAAAAGCGCATTCGATAGCCCTTTTACAGACCTTTCTGAGTAATGTTCTCAGATTTGACCTCAGGTCAACGGTTTAGCCTCCAGAGGGCAAAAACTCCAAAAATAGCCGTTTTTACGAAAAACGTTTTTTTCGGCAATAACTTTTGACTCAAAAGAGCTATGAAATTAATTTTGCCAGCATCGTATTCCTCTCGTCGAGACGCGTCGAATGAACTATAATTTGACCTTGAAAGGTCAACTTGAAAATTTGACCTCAGGTCAAGGTCATGACCTGACCGGAAAAGGTCATGTTGCATATCAGTCGATCCGCAACGTCGAGCCGAACACATCTAAGGCGTTTTCAGCGCACTAGCACGCCTCTATCAGAAGTTATCATCGAAAAACTGTTAGATTCTGTTCGTGACCTGAGATGACCTCGGGGACATAACGAGAGGTCACAGTTGCCATTTTCTGGTTCAGTGTGTCTATTTTACCTACATCTCGATGTTTGAGAGTGTCTAGAATAGCGTTCGTGCAAAACAGACGCTTTTCAATTTTCTCCCATTGACTTATAATGGAGAGGCCGCAAAATTGACCTGACCTTAGGTCACCGATATCAAAATTCCGAGATATACATTTTATAGATAGTGTTGCTCTAATCAATCGCTGAAAGTTTCAAGGCAATCGTTCAGTCGGTGTAGCTATGGCGAGTATTCTTATTTTTTTCTGAGGTGAGGTCACTTGGCGTGACCTGGTGACCTGACCTAAGGAGACCTGGGTCTGAAATTTTCACAACATGTGCGGAAAAGATGCACGAACAGGTGTGCCAAAAACGGCGTCGCTCCGCGCCGCCGTTTTTGAGATATCTGCGAAAAACCGCAAGGGGGGTGTTCAAACACCCCCCTGCCCGGCGCGGGTTAAAGCTGTCTTGAGTTAGCGTCGTCCCAGCGTGTAATTGTAAAGTAATTGGTAAAGCGTACATCAGTTTCCAAATAGATTACGCACTTGCTTTTCTCCCCATGTAATGAAGTTATGGAGGGTCGGGCTCTCTGAAACTGACGACTGGTTTAACTTGAGTCTAGCAAAGCTAGAATGAATTTCCTGATTGGCAAATATTTCACAACATAATTGGTTATCAGAAATATCACCGAAAAATGTCCCACCCATGCCATATTTGGTGCCATACTCTTCAGATTATCGTTACCAATCTTTTTTTTTGCATCGAAGATGCATTTTCTGTTCGGTTACCCGAAATTCATGCAAATTTTGAGCAAATTTAGTTTCTTGATCAACATGTCAGTTTTACTTTCGTCCAAATTCAGTTCGAAAGGGTCATCCGTTATACCTACAGCAATCAGCATGATTTCAAGCTGTTTTGAATTTGGTCATAGACAATTCAGCAACAATTGAAACATTTACAGTTGCTTGAATTTGGAAGTTCCATACTTTCTCGAACTTGCTTCGGTCTTTTTCAAGTGCAAGTACTTTGCACTAACATTTCATAATAATGCGCTTCATTTGTAAGCTAATGTTAAGTTCGTTCTATTTAACAATTCGTTAAAAGGCAGATAGACCCTGACTTATTTTTGTACCAATGCTTATGAGGTAATCCTTCGCGTTTATTTCACTTGGTACTTTGTTTCTCCGGAATAGAGCCCGACCTCCCCCGCCACTCTTGTCAGAATGGACTCGCCCGTGAAATGTCACCTCCACTGTTTCCATGGTTACGTTGTTGTGTTCTGCGCAGAGACGGTGTAGATGCGATAATTTACACCCTCTCCGCGCAGTATGACTATGCACGCTATGTCATGTGTTGTGTAATGTGTATGTTTGTATTTTGAATTTTCACGCATAAACACACGTTTATTTATGAAAGCTCCCTCGATTCCCAATCCCATTAGGTTGAGGTCTTAATTTTCTATTTGTTTAGTTTTTGTGGCTATAGTGCTTTCATTGCGGGGATTTTTACGTAGGCTAACTACTGCATGCTGTATTTTAATTTCAAAATATTCTTCGATTGATAGACTTATTTA